TTGAATCTCTTGCTGCTGAATGCCTACTCAATTACCATGCGTATATGCATACATAAGAAGCACGACCCCATTTTACAGATGAGCAAACTGAAGCTCAGAGAAGTTAAGCAACTTGCCCAAGGTCACACAGCCAGCATGGGCTGAGCAGAGATTCATACACGGTTCCTTGTAACTCCACTCTGCTAGACTGACCCCGCAATCTCCGTCATTCAGTCTACAGGCCAGTGAGCCTACAGCCTGCTCTAGGAAGCACTGGCCTTACATGGCCCTGGCCAGCATTTCTACTCCAAATCTCTAGTTTCTACTTGTAGTTGTGATTACCTTGACTTTATTTAAATTGAGAACACCTTTTCATTCTTACAAAAACAGTGTGGTCCCAGGACCAGAACCAGCAGCATCACCTGGGAACTTGTCAGGAATGCAAATTCTCAAGCCTCACCCCGAAGAAAATCTCTGGGGCTGGGGCCCTGCAGTGATGCTGATATAAGCTAAAGTTTGAGAACATTTGCTGTGAAACATGTCTCTCATAAAACCAAGCCACTAGCTTAAGTCTAATTAACATTTATTGTACCTGTTCTTGGTGGTTCAAAGGGGAAGGCACCAGAAACTTAGCAGAGAAGGGAAGGATATAAACAGACGTGAAAAGTGATTTGCTCAGAAGCCACAAAATGGGTAGAGGAGGAGAGGGGAGTTGAGGAGGGGGTACTGGCCCAAATGATGCAGCAGAACTGCCTGTAGCTTTTTTTTTTTCTTTTGCTACACCACGCAGCATGTGGGATCTCAGTCCCCCTGCATTGGAAACGCAGAGCCTTAACCACTGGACCACGAGGGAAGTCCCTGTATAGCTTTTAAAGCGGGCACATGGGGTTATAGTTGGACGGTTCTGGGGTGGACCCAGAAGCTGCACTGCGAAAAGCTGCATAGGTGGTTCTGCTTTGCTGTCAAGAATGGGAACCCTGCCCTAGTGGAAAGAGCTTCGGGGGCTTCACAGCCCAGCTTCTATCAGGCTTCGGCGTCCAGGGGGAGCATAACACTGTTTGTAACATGAAAGACAACACCTTCCCTTCTGAAGATGGACCCCCCCCCCCCGCCAGTGTTTCCCTCCCGCACACTGAGTGTCGGGGGTTTGCAGGTGTCTACTGCCCCTCGTGTGCCCTCTGTGCCCTCTGCCCTCTAACCCCTGTCATCCCCAACACCAAAGTTGTCCACACCTCTGTGCCGGCCCCCAGGTTCCTGTGTGAGATCTCACCCAGCTGTCTGCTCTTCCACCCTAACTGCTGGTTCTCAGCACTGTGCACATTGGAATCACCTGGAGAGCTTAAGAAACCAACATATACACATACATACGTATACATGTGTACGTCTGTACACACGCAGTATGTAACCCTTGCAATGTACAATATTTGAGACATACTAAAAATTACTTATCTGAAATTTTTTATTTAACTGGGTGCCCTGTATTTTAGCAGAGTCAGAAATGGTGATGGTGACTACTGGGTCTAGAGCCCTCGGACAGGGGACTGGTCAGTGAGATCCACTGGGAGTCCAGGCTCAAGCCCACTTCCTGGGCCCTTTCGCTCTTTGTGCCCCCATCTCCAAAGGCAGGATGTGCTTAGCCAGCAGGGAGGTCTCACGGGCCTCCCCCCCACCCCCCTCTCCAGTTTATTACAGACCCAGCTCTGATTAGTGGTTATGGGACCTGATGCCAAGTGAGCTGCTGGGAGGCTCTGTTGGGGCTCCTGCCACGTGGCCTCAAGCACCCACAATCTCTTTCCGGGCGGTTCTCTCTCTACTCCCCTGGACCGAGGAGTGCCCAAGTGCAGCGAGATGCTATCTTTGACAAAACAAAGTCTGAGATTGGGATTGACATATATACACTAATACGTATAGAATAGATAACTAATTAAAAAATGGAGATAAAATTTAATGGCTTAGCATTTCAGCTCTGAGAATAAAAAATATTTATAACAAGTTCTAATAAAATGTATTCATTTCTTTATTTAAAAAACCCCGAAGTCTGAATTGTGAAGGAGCAATGCATCAGGCACAGCAATCTGCGGTGAACTACGTACACATTTGTATTCATATTTTCCTCATTGCTCTGCAGTTTGGCTTTCAACAACTAAGAATTAAAATGCTGTTGTCGGGCCTTCCCTGGTGGCGCAGTGGTTGACAGTCCGCCTGCCGATGCAGGGGACGCGGGTTCGTGCCCCGGTCCGGGAAGATCCCACATGCCGCGGAGAGGCTGGGCCCGTGAGCCATGGCCGTTGAGCCTGCGCGTCCGGAGCCTGTGCTCCGCAACGGGAGAGGCCACAACAGTGAGAGGCCCGTGTACCACAAAAAAAAAAAAAAACAAAACAAAATCAAGGGAAGACCTGAAGGTTGGGTACCATTATGCCAACCTCGGAAATCATTTGACCAGGAAGGTGGGATGAAGTAGGAAGACAGAAGTGCCCCAGAAAACCTGTCAAAAATAGAGAAAGGAGGGCTTCCCCTGAAAAAAAGATAAGTCCAGACATAACTCCTGGGGAAAAGATGAATGAGACACGCACCCTAATTTGTGTCTACGACAGATGCTATCCAAACTGTAAAGTCACAAGGGCCCCTCAAAGCCTTGCCATGACGTCCCCACCCAGCATTCTACGTTGGCTTTGTTTGACCAGCAGTATGACAGGAATATTTCAAAAGAACTTCCATGAAGAAATCAAGGCACAAACGTACCAAGAGGGGTCGCTTCAAAGCCAGCAGACCTTCAGCGTTCGTGGCCTCGACTGTCCTGTTGGTCCCTGACGTGATCTAATTTGTGTTTTTGCTGAGCCGGGAGTTTCAGTGGTAGTTATGAGGGGTGGAGCTGTGGGAGCAAAACCTCTGCTTGTGGGTGAGCCCAGCACCCACCTGTGCTCCCAGCTTTGATACTTTTTGCCTATTGGTACGAAGCTACTCTGCCAGGGTAGGTTTGTAAATTGCTAGGCGAGGCGGCCGGTGTGAAAAGATCTGAGAACACGATAGTTCTTGGTTGTTAAGAAGATGTTTTTGGTGGCAGGGCACGTCAAATACAAGGAAGACCCAGCTCTGTGATGTTGACAAGCCTCCTGCAGGGGTTCAGAGGGCAACTCATCCTGGAACTGTCTCATTCATCAAAGGCTCCCAGGAGTGCAGAAACCACACATCAGAAGAGAGACTGGAGAGGGACTTCCCTGGTGGTCCCGTGGTTAGGGCTTGGCACTTGCACTGCCGTGGCCCAGGTTCAATCCCTGGTCGGGGAACTAAGATCCTGCAAGCCAAAAGAAAAAAAAAAAAAAATTCAACGTAGAACTACCATATGATCCAGCAATTCCAATTCTGGATATTTGCCTCCAAGAGTTTGAGTTGCCTCAAAGCAGGGACTCAAAGGCATGTTTGTACACCCATGATCACAGCAGAATTATTCACAAGAGCCAAAAGGAGGAAGCATCCCACGTGTCTGTTGACTGATAACTGGATAAACAAAATGGAGTGTATTCGTACAAGGTGGTGTTATTCAGCCTTAAAAAGGAAGGAAATTTTTTTTCATAAATTTATTTATTTATTTTTGGATGCGTTGGGTCTTCGTTGCTGCACGCGGGCTTTCTCTAGTTGCGATGAGCGGGGGCTACCGTTCGTTGTGGTGTGCGGGTTTCTCATTGCAGTGGCTTCTCTCGTTGCGGAGCACGGGCTCTAGGCACACAGGCGTCAGTAGTTGTGGCTCGCGGGCTCTAGAGCGCAAGCTCAGTAGTTGTGGTGCACGGGCTTAGCTGCTCCGCGGCATGTGGGATCTTCCCGGACCAGGGCTCGAACCCGTGTCCCCTGCACTGGCAGGCAGATTCTTAACCACTGCGCCACCAGGGAAGCCCCGAGAAGGAAATTCTAACACATGCTATGACATGGATGAGCCTTGAGGACATCATGCCCAGCGAAATAAGCCAGTCACAAAAAGACAAATACCGTGTGATTCCACTCGTGTCAGGTCCCTAGAGCAGTCCAGCTGAGAAACAGAAAGTAGAACAGTGGCTGCCAGGGGCTGGGGGGAGGGGGAGTCAGTGCTGAAAAGAGAGGGGTTTCAGTTTGGGATGAAGGTGAGGGACGGCGGTTCTGGAGAGGGGTGGTGGTGGTGATAGCTACACAGCAGTGTGAGTGGACTTAATGCCACAGAGCTGGACACTAAAGATGGTTAAAATGGTCAATTTTACAGGGTGTATATTTTAACAGAGTTTAAAACAAGAGGTAACGGACTGAAAGTGAGGTTAGTCTGGAGTCACAGCTGGGACAGGAAGCACGTGACTCCTGAGAGGGGAGTTTGGGCCAAAGCCTGATTATACTTGCTGAACGGGTTGCAGCCCTGCCACAAGCGGCATCTGGAAGCTGGACCCCTGGCCACCCTCCTTCCCCATCGCAGCCACGCCCTTTAGCAGATGACAGGTAAGTTCACATTCCTTGCTCCTCCTCGTTTCCCTTGTGGCAGAGTGGAAAGGGCTTGGGATGGACTGTCAATCAAGACTTGAGTTCTTGTCCTTTCCCCTCCCTGGGCCTCCCCACCCCTCCCCGGCCTCCCTCAAGCCCAGGGGCTGGAGACGCACAGAGCTCCCTGCGGCCAGACGGTCCCTGCTCTGAGGAGCTCACGTCTGTGTCTCTCTCGGTCCATTGTTGGCCTATGGTTTTCGCGGTTGTTTCCTGTTTTTGTCCTTTCTCTTCCCTCCCCTGCTCTGTCAACCACACAACCAACTTAGAGGTATGGGGCTGCCTCCCTGCCATGGGCCACGTGGGCCCAGGCCATCCAGGAAGTTTCCTTCTAGTTTGCTAAGAGCTTTTGTCATGAAAGATGTTGAATATCATCATTTTTTTTTCTAGATCTACTAAGATGATCATAGTTTTTTTTTCTTCTTAAATCTATTAATGTAAGTTTTTAGTTTGGGCTCCTTCAAAAATACAGCCTGGAACAAGGACCTCAGTTCGGGTAGATTATTTGAGAGGTGATGCCAGGAAGCAGGGAGCGAAGGAGCAAAGAGACTGAAACAGGGAAGGAGAAAAAGCCAATTAACGATGCATAACTGCTGTTGCAGCTGTAGGCAAAGGAAGTTCAAATCTGTGGGGACCTCTGATAAGTCTACAGGATGCTGCCCAGAATTGCCTTCCCCAAAAGAAGGAGACTGGAGCATGTATCCACCAGCTCCTGTTTCATCTTAGGGATGAAAGGGTTTAATCTTAGAGAACTTAACTCTCCTATGCTTCTGGGAAACACTAGCAGGCAAATAAGTGACTCCTAAAGCCGTTGAAGAAGACCCTGAGGCAAAACGCAAAAAGCAACATGATATAAGCTTGAGGTGAGACACTAGAGCATAAGGTGAGTCTAAGCTTGCAGGAAATTATGTGCTGTAAATACAGTGGATGTCAGAGGAGGGCAGAAGTAATGTGACATAGAGCACCGAAGCTTACTATTACCAACAATAATAAATGACATATGTAGATTTCTCTTCTGTTGTTAGACTACCTTTGCATAGCTGAGATAAGCCCAACTTGGATATGATGTCTAGTATTTTTAATATACTGCTAGATTTGGTTTGTTTGTATTTTTCTTACTGTTGCATTTATATTCATGAGTGAGACTGGCTTCTAATTTTCCTTTTTCATCCTATTCTTGTCTCATTTTGGTATTAAGGTTACACTGGCCTCATAGAAAGAGTTAAGAGTGTGTTCCTGCGATTTGCATTCTCAGAAAGAGTTTTTATAAAATTAGAATTACCTCTACTTAAACTTCTGGAACACTATCTAGACTTGGTATTTCCTTTGTGGGAAGATTTCAAATTATGGATTTAATTTTGTTTTTAGTTTGTTTTTAATATTCTACATATAAATTAAATCATATGGTATTTGTCTTTTTCCATCTGACTTATTTCACTTAGCGTAATGCCCCCAAGGTCCATCCATGTTGTCAAAAATGGCAAGATTTCATCTTTTTTTTTAAAAATATTTATTTATTTATTTATTTGGCTGCATCGGGGCTTAGTTGCGGCATGCGTTGCAGCATGCGTTGCGGCACGTGGGATCTTTCGTTGTGGCTCGCGGGCTCTACTTTGTGGTGTGCGGGCTTCCTCTAGCTGTGGCATGGATTTGATTTCTTTAATAGCTGTAGAACCATTCAGGCTTTTTATTTCTTCTTAAATCAAGTTAGGTAAGTTCTATTTTTTCTAAGATTTGGTCTACTTTGTTTCATATTTCTTGACATAAATGATTTATAGTCTTTTTTTTTGATTTATAGTCTTTTTAATTTTAACTTTATTGAAGTATAGTTGATTTATAATGTTGTATTAATAAAATTTTCAATTATGGTAAAATACACATAACATAAAATTCACCATTTAACTGGTTTTAAATGTACTGTTTTAAAGATGGTTGTGTTACATTTACACTGTTTTGCAACAAATCTCGAAAACTTTTTATCTTGCAAAACTGAAACTCTATACCCATTAAACAAACAACTCACCATTTCCTCCTGCCCCCAGGCCCTGGCAACCACAGTCCTACTTCGTTTCTATGAATTTTTTTTTTTTTTTTTTTTTTTGTGGTTCGGGGGCCTCTCCCGTTGCGGAGCACAGGCTCTGGACGCGCAGGCTCAGGGGCCATGGCTCACGGGCCCAGCCGCTCCACGGCATGTGGGATCTTCCCGGACCAGGGCACGAACCCGTGTCCCCTGCATCGGCAGGCGGACTCTCAACCACTGCGCCACCAGGGAAGCCCTGTTTCTATGAATTTGTATAGGCTTCTTCTTTTTTGAATTATAAGATAACATTATTTTAATTTTTTAAATTGAAGTATAATGTACAGTATTATGTAAGCTTCGGGTGTTCTACGTAGTGGTTTGGCATTTGCATACATTATGAAATAATCACGATAAATCTGTTAATCATGTGTCCCCATATGGAGTTATTACAACATTATTGGCCGTGTTCCTTATAGTGTGTGTTATATCCCTGTGGCTCATTTTATAACTGGAGTTTTGTACCTCTTAATCCCATTCACCTATTTTGTACCCCTCTCCACCCCTTTCTCTCTGCTAACCACCCATTTGTTCTCTGTATCTATGAGCCTGTTTTTTGTTTGGTTTTATTTGTTCTGTTTTTTATTTTATTTTTTAATTTTTTAATAGATCTTTATTGGAGTATAATCGCTTCACAATACCGTGTTAGTTTCTGTTGCACAACGAAGTGAATCAGCCGTATGCATACACATGTCCCCATATCCCCTCCCTCTTGAGCCTCCCTCCCATCCTCCCTATCCCACCCCTCCAGGTGGTCGCAGAGCACCAAGCTGATCTCCTTGTGCTATGCTGCTGCTTCCCACCAGCCAACTATTTTATATTCGGTAGCGTATATATGTCGATGCTACTCTCACTTCACCCCAGCTTCGCCCTCCCACCCCATGTCATCAAGTCCATTCTCTATGTCTACCTCTTTATTCCTGCCCTGCAACTAGGTTCATCAGTACCATTTTTTTTAGATTCCATATATATGTGTTAGCATACGGTATTTGTTTTTCTCCTTCTGACTTACTTCACTCTGTATGACAGACTCTAGGTCCATCCACCTCACTACAAATAACTCAATTTCGTTTCTTTATATGGCTGAGTAATATTCCATTGTATATATGTGCCACATCTTCTTCATCCATTCATCTGTTGATGGACATCTAGGTTGGTTCCATGTCCTGGCTACTGTAAATAATGCTGCAATGAACACTGTGGTGCATGTCTCTTTCTGAATTATGGTTTTCTCAGGGTATATGCCCAGTAGTGGGATTGCTGGGTCATATGGTAGTTCTATTTTAAGTTTTTTAAGGAACCTCCATACTGTTTTGCATAGTGGTTGTATCAATTTACATTCCCACCAACAGTGTAGGAGGGTTCCCTTTTCACCCCACCCTTTCCAGTACTTATTGTTTTTAGCTTTTTTGATAATGGCCATTCTGACCGGCGTGAGGTGATACCTCATTGTAGTTTTGATTTGCATTGCTCTAATAATTAGTGATGTAGAGCATATTTTCATGTGCCTCTTGGCCATCTGTATGTCTTCCTCAGTGAAATGTCTATTTAGGTCTTCTGCCCATTTTTTAACTGGATTGTTTGTGCTTTTGATATTGAGCTCTATGAGCTGTTTGTATATTTTGGAGATTAATCCTTTGTCTGTTGTTTCATTTGCAAATATTTTCTCCCATTCTGAGAGTTGTCTTTTTGTCTTGTTTATGGTTTCCTTTGCTTTTTGCTTAAAAGCAAAACTTTTTAAGTTTAATTAAGTCCCATTTGTTTATTTTTGTTTTTATTTCTGTTCCTCTAGGAGGTCGGTCAAAAAAGATCTTGTGGTTTATGTCAAAGAGTGTCTTTCCTATGTTTTCCTTTCAAAGTTTTACAGTGTCTGGTCTTACATTTAAGTCTTTAATCCATTTGGAGTTTATTTTTGTGTAGAGTGTTAAGTAGTGTTCTAATTTCATTCTTTTACATGTAGCTGTCCAGTTTTCCCAGCACCACTTATTGAAGAGGCTGTCTTTTCTCCATTGTATGTTCTTGCCTCCTTTGTCGTAAATTAGGTGCCCATAGGTGTGTGGGTTTATCTCTGGGCATTCTATCCTGTACCATTGATCTATATTTCTGTTTTTGTGCCAGTACCATACTGTCTTGATTACTGTAGCTTTGTGGTATAGTTTGTAGTCAGAGAGTCTGATTCCTCCAACTCCGTTTTTCTTTCTCAAGATTGTTTTGGCTATTCAGGGTCTTTTGTGTTTCCATACAAATTTTAAGATTTTTTGTTCTAATTCTGTGAAGAATGCCATTGGTAGTTTGAAAGGGATTGCATTGAATCTGTAGATTGCTTTGTGTAGTATAGTCATTTTCACAATATTGATTCTTCCAATCCAAGAACATGGTATATTTCTTCATCTGTTTATGTCATCTTTGATTTCTTTCATCAGTGTTTTATAGTTTTCTGAGTATAAGTGTTTTGCCTCCTTAGGCAAGTTTATTCCTAGGTATTTTATTCTTTTTGTTGCAGTGGTAAATGGGAGTGTTTCCCTAATTTCTCTTTCTGATATTTCGTTGTTGGTGTATAGGAATGCCAGAGATTTCTGTTCATTAATTTTGTATCCTGCAACCTTACCAAACTCATTGATTAGTTCTAGTAGTGTTCTGGTGGCATCTTTAGGATTTTCTATGTATAGTATCATGTCATCTGCAAAGAGTGACAGTTTTACTTCTTTTCCAATTTGTATTCCTTTTATTTCTTTTCTTCTCTGATTGCTGTGGCTAGGACTTCCAAAACTATGTTGAATAAGAGTTGCAAGAGTGGACGTCCTTGTCTTGTTCCTGATCCTAGTGGAAATGCTTTCAGTTTTTCACCATTGAGTATGATGCTTGCTGTGGGTTTGTCATATATGGCCTTTATTATGTTGATGTAATTTTTGTTTTTTATTTGCCATGCCACGCAGCTTGCAGGATCTTAGTTCCCCAACCAGGGACTGAACCCACACCCTCGGCAGTGAAAGCTCAGAACCCTAACCACTGGACTGCCAGGGAATTTCCATTTGGTTTTTTTTTAGATTCCACATATAAGTGAGATCATACAGTATTTGTCTTTCTCTGTCTGACTCACTTCATTTAGCATAATACCCTCTAGATCCATCCATGTTGTTGCTAATGGCAAGGTTTCATTTTTTATGGCTGAATAATACTCCATTGTATAGATATACCAACCACATCTTTATCCATGCATCTATCAGTGAACACCACCAACAGTACACAAGAGTTCTCTTTTCTCCATATCCTTGCCAATGCTTTTTATTTGTTGTCTTTTTGATGACAGCCATTCTGACAGGTGTGAGGTGATATCTCATTGTGTTTTTGATTTGCATTTCCCTGATGATTAGTGATGTTGAGCATCTTTTCATGTCTGTTGGCCATCTGTATATCTTCTTTGGAAAAATGTCTCTTCAGGTTCTCTGCCCATTTTTTTAAAAAATTAATTTATTTATTTGGTTGCGCCAGGTCACAGTTGCAGCATGCAGGATCTTTAGTTGCGGCATGTGGGATCTAGTTCCCTGATCAGGGATTGAACCTGGGCCCCCTGCATTGGGAGTGTGGAGTCTCAACCACTGGACCACCAGGGAAGTCCCCTCTGCCCATTTTTTAATAAGGTTTTTTTTTTTATGTTGAGTTGTATGATTCTTTGTATATTTTGGCTATTAACCCCTAATTGGATATAACATCTGCAAGTATCTTCTCCCATTTAGCAGGCTGCCTTTTTGTTTTGTTGATAGTTTCCTTCATTGTGCAAAAAGCTTTTTAGTTTGATGTATTTGTTTATTTTTGCTTCCCTTGCCTGAGGAGACATATCCAGAAATTATTGCTAAGACCGATGCCAAAGAGCATGCCACCTATGTTTTCTTCTAGGAATTTTATGGTTTTGTTTATTGGGATTTTAAAAATTATTATTACTGGTTCAGTTACATTACTGGTAATAAGTCTGTTCATATTTTCTATTTCTTCCTGATTCAGTCTTGGGAGATTGAACGTTTCTAGGAATTTATCCATTTCTTCTAGGTTGTCCATTGTATTGGTTTATAATTGTTCACAGTAATCTTTTATGACCCTTTTTATGTCTGTGGTGTTTTTGTAACTTCTCTTTTGGTTCTGATGAGTTTGGCTAAAGGTTTATCAATTTTGTTTATCTTTTTGAAGAACCAGCTCTTAGTTTCACTGATCTTTCCTATTGTTTTTTGTTTGTTTGCTTTTAGTCTCTATTTCATTTATTTCTACTCTGATCTTTATTATTTCTTACCTTCTACTAACTTTGGGTTTTGTTCTTCTTTTTCTAGTTCCTTTAGGTGTAAGGTTAGATTGTTCATTTGTATAGTCTTCTTTTTAATCTTGTAGTTATGTAGTTATTTTTATTCCTAATAATGTTTATTTGTGCTTTCCTTTGTTTATAAGTAAATTTCAGCAGAGATTTGCCTGTTCTACTGTTTTTTTCAAGGAACTAACTTTTGGTTTTATTGATCCTGTCTACCATATCTTTGTTTTCTATTTTATTGATTTCTGTTCTTTATTATTCTCTTCTGAGTTTACTTTTGGGTTTACTTTGTTGTTCTTTTTACAGCTTCTTGACTTCTTACTTAAATTGGATACTTATTTCATACACTTTTCTAATACAAGCATTCAAGACTATAAATTTCCCTTTAAGTACCACTTTTGATGCATCCAACAAATTGCAATCTATTTTCATTATCACTCAAATCTAAGAATTTTAAAATGTGTCATTTATGATTTTTTCTTTGACCCATGGATGAGTATGTTTTTAAATTACCAAATATATAGGGGTCTTAAAACTTATCTTTTTGATGAATTTGTATTCTCTATAGGTGCAGATCAGGCTTTTACATTGTATGTTTCAGCTTTTCCATTCATTTATTGATTTTTTTGTCTGCTTCATTATTCATAATTGAGAGACATTGTATTAAAATTTCTTGCTGTGATGATGGTTTTATCTCTTTGTAGTTCCTTCAAACTAAGTGCTTACAAGTTTAGAACTATTGTAATTTCCTGATGAATTGACCCTTTAATCTAGGTACTCACTCTATCCCTAATAAATATCAATATTTTTGTCTTAAAAGTCCTCTTTGTCTGATATGAATAGACCTTTTCTGGCTTTCTTTTGGTTAGCTTTTGCCTGGTATATCTTTTTCCATTCTTTGACTTTCAACCATTCCATACTCTTAATCATTACATGTGTCTTGTAAACAATGTGGAACTGGGTTTTCTGTTTAAATAGCTTTAAAATTGAATCTGAGATGAGAATTTAGGAATGACTGAGTATATGACTTCCACTAAACCCTGCTAAGAACTGAGTTTAAGAGCCTGCATTTTGAACAACAATGCATAGTCGGTAAGAACTCTAACCCAGAAGGTTGCCTTCAAGGTAGTGTGTTTGAGCTGCCTTTTTTTTTTTTTTTTGGTAGACTTTGTTTTTCCTAAGAGCAGTTTTAGGTTCACAGCAAAACTTAGGGGAAGGTAGAGATTTCCCACAAACCTCCTGTCCCCACGCACACACAGCCTCCCCCATGACCAACGCCCCCCCACCCCCCCACCAGAGTGGGACATTTGTTATGACTGATGAACCTGTATGGACACATCACTATCGCCCACAGTCCATAGTTTACATTAGGGTTCACTCTTGGTGTTGTACACTCTATGGGTTTGGACAAATGTATAATGACACACATGCACCACTGTAGTATCATACAGAGTAGTTTCCCTGTCCTAAAGATCCTCTGTGCTCTGCTTGTTCATCCCTCCCTCCCTTTAATCCCTGACAACCACTGATCATCCAACCAAATACTCATCATTCCTAAATCCTCACCTCAGTTCTATCACCTAATTCACCTGAGCCCCAATTTCCTCAGATGCACAATCAAAATTTGTAGATTTGGTGTGATAATTAAATGAGATAGTGTCTTAAAGCCTTAACTTAGTCCCTAGAAAAGAATAGGTGTCAATTAAATGCTAGTTTCCTTTTCCTTCCTCCTTCTCTTAGTAATCTGAAATCACGTTTAGCTGAGAAAAAAAAGAGAAGAAAGTGCCCAGGGACAGGGGAGGGTAGGGGGCAGAGGAAGGAGGTGAACATCCAGCTATTGCCTCCCAAACCCTATTTCCAACTTGGAAAATCCCTACGCAGAGGGGACTCCCACAGTGTGTCCTGTGGGATTTGGGGCTCCCCAGATCTGAGGCTTGTAGGCAGCGCTGTCCTATGTGTACACACAGCGCACGGGAATCCCGTGTGCACACACATCACTCACACACACGTGTGCCCCCGGCGCTCCCCCCATCTGCCTGGCTTATCAGCTGCTTCCCAGCTTCCTCTGCTTGACTTCTTATAGACCTGGGACCCTGGGAGCCGGCCTTCCACGTGGCCTCCCCAAGACCACTCAGATAACGAGAGGAAATGTGGTCATCAGCTCACAGAAGGCTGGGGGTTCCGGCTGCGGCTCCAGGCCACCACTCCCTGACCTGCTCCCTCCATCTCTCTCCAGGCGGTTCTCGGCTGCTCCCTGTGAGCCCGTGGACGCCACTCGAGATGTCCCCTTTTGATGGCTGGGGACTGCTCTCGGCCTTCCTCGCCCTGCTCTGCTGCACAGGTGAGCCTGGGGTTCCTGACGGGGCACGTGCCAGCCAGGACCCCCTCCCCTTCAGACAGGGAACGGGGTCCCGGTCCTGAAGTCGCTGAGGCTTTGAAAACAGAGGCCGTCTGCCATGGGTACAGGATGCTGTGCCAGCCTGGCTTCCCCATGACCCTGGGCAGCGGTTAGGGGTCCTGGCCTTTTGGGAACCAGACCCCATAACTTCATGGTGTATGGATGTGGCAGCCTGTGGAGACTAGATGGAGAGGTGAAGGGAGGCTGGGATTCAAGGGCAGGTGAGGACACGCCCCAGCTAGTCTTCAGAGGTGGCCCAGGGGTCAGCAGAGGGCAGCAGAGGGCATCACCTTGTGGCGACCATGAAAGTGAAAACGAAGCCCCTTCCAGGAGGTCCAGGGGACCGTGAAGGGAAATGCCTCCGTGTGCTGAGCACTCTGTTTTGGACAACCTGCCAGGTGCTTTCACGACAACCTTGCAGGAAAGGGATTACTAGCCCATTTGACAGATGGAGAAACTGGGGCTCAGAGAGAGAAAGCGCTTTGCCCAAGGCCACACAGCTGGTACCTGGCAAACTCAGGTTTCAAATCCAGCTCTCTCTCCCTGCAAAGCCCCTCTTTTGCCCCTTCATTATATGCCACTAGCTGAGGGCTAAGTGGGGGGGTCTATGGGTGTGGCAGGAGCACAGGACACAGGACGGGCCCAGCTGGCTGGGATCAAGGACCTTCTGGTCTTCACCGAGTGGGAGGTGAGCGCCGAAGGCCTGAAATGCTTCGTGCCTGAAACACTTCTTGGCTCTGCGCCACACACAGGGTATTGTGCTGAGCACAAAGGGAAACATGCGAAATCTGGGCCTTGCCTTCTAGGAGCTCCAAAATGTCCAAGGGAGAGTCAGCATGAATATGAGTCATTTGCAAGGTGGTCCCATTACCTTCCTGACCTCGCCTCCCCCTCCTTCCTCCTCGCTGAGCTCCAGCCATCTGGTCTCCTCCCCACCCAGGGTCTCTGCGCTGGTGGTTCCCTCCCCCCACAGATGCCTGCCTGCCGGGCTCCCCACCACCACCACCCCGACCTCCTTCATTCTTTGCTCAAATGTCGGTGTTTCCGTGAGGCCTGTGCTGACTGCACTGTTTAACACAGCAACCCCGCCCCACTCCCTCTGTCCTTTCCTAGGCATTTACCACCAACTGACAAGCTGGCTAGTTCACTTTTTATTATTGTCTGTCTCCTTCGCTGCAATGTGAGCGCCGCAAGGGCAGGGTTTGGTCTGCTTTGGTCCCTGCTGGATCCCCAGAGCCTAGAACAGTGCCTGGCACACAGCTGGTGTTCAAAAAGGATTTGCAAAGAAGAGAGGAAAGGAGGGAGGGAAGAGTTGAACCCATGGCCATGGGGGCTCAGAGGACACAGTCCACCTCCATTTCAGAGAGGCCTTCGTGAAGGAGGGGACATTTGGGCTGGGCCTCGTAGGTCGAATAAGATCCCTCTCCATGGAGATAGAAGACGTGCATGAGAAAGACTAACCTGGAGGCGATGAGCTGGAGGAACAGCAACCAGAGGCAGGGAGACAGCTGCAGGGGGGTCACAGTCTCTGTGGTCTAGACCCAAGGCGATAAGGTCTGAACAAGGGGAGAGGAGCAGAGGGGACCTCTACCCCTTATCAGACTGCCCGCTGCGGGCAGCTCCACTGGGCAGGGCAGCAGGGACTTCTCCTGCCTAGTGTTTCTGGTCTTCCAGGGTCTGGTGAGGAGGCGTTCGAGGTACGCATGTGGCCAGGGCAGCTGATGGTGGAGTCCGGGGAGTCTCGGGTGATTAACTGTAGTACCACCTGTACCCAGCCCAACACCGGTGGTCTGGAGACCACCCTACACAAGACTCTCCTGGAGGAACAGGATCAGTGGAAGCTGTATGAGGTCTTCAACATCTCCCAGGACACAGATGTCATTTGCCATTTCACCTGCTCCGGGAAGCAGGAGTCCAAGAGTCTGAACATCAGTGTGTTCCGTGAGTGCGGCACCGCAGGGCCCTGCTCCCCTAGGCCAGAGCCTGCGTCTACCGAACGCACGCAGAGCTGCTCTGTTACTGCTGCTGGGTGCTCTCGTTATGGCTCCCACTTCCCTGGGCTCCTGGACCCAGTCCATGGGCTCAGAATCTTCTCACACCCTCCCCTGGCCTCCTTGAGCCTGTTGGCAACCCTGGTTTTGAGGTTTGCTCAGAGGAGGACAATTCAAGCAAGGTTTAGACAAATCTAAAAGCTGTTTCCCATGCCGTGCTACAGTCTCCTCCTAGCTTGGTAGCACCCCATCACCAGAACACCCTGCACCCCATGACAAGCAGTGGGGCCCCCATCAGGTGGGCTGGCACACTCTGCAGTAGCCCACTGGCCTCCCAGAGAGAAGGCTGAGGCGTGGTTTTATCTCCCCCTGAGGGCCCTTGGCAAATGTGTGACCATCACCCACATACCTGCCCACAGGCCATGGAGACCTTGGATAGACTGGGATTCTCTCAACAGCTTGGCACCAAGGGTACCGCTCGAAACTGTCATCAGTGGATCAGATGAATAGAAAGATGTCCTATATCTAACATATTATCCTGGGGTAATGGGGGCAAGGCATTCTAGTTCAAAAAGGAACCCAGGGTACCACCGAGTTTAATAGCTAAGGGCTAGAGGTAGCTCAGAAGAAGAACCAAGGCAGGTCTGACTCTGGCCTCCACCTCTGAAGTGAAGAATCTCACAACTCATGATCCAGTTCCAATGAGTACTCCCTTCTAAGTCTCTCTCAGCATAATTATCCAACCATTTAATTTTTGAAATTTGTATTTAATTTTTGGAGAGGAAGGAGACAGGTCCAAAACTTTTATATCTTTCTAGTTGACTATACAGATTCTGGACCTTTTCTTTGTAGACACCAGGCTACCTCCATTCTTGTCCATTCTAGAATTCATGTCCATAAAACAACCACCCAGTACATCCTTCACCCTGAACTGCTTCCTCCTTCCTCTTTTTACACTTTAGAGCAGCCAGGCCCCAGCCCACTTCCTGAGAACACTGTGGTGATGGGGATGGTCCTGGCTGGGTGGAGCCTGCTGGAACTGCACCCCCATCCTGACCAGACCTTGCTTCCTTCTTTCCTTCAGACCCTCCAAAGCAAGTGCTGCTGAAGTTATGGCCCACTTTAGTGGCTGTAGGGAGATCATTCACCATCCAGTGCAGGGTGCCCTCTGTGGCACCCCTCGAAGGTCTCACTGTCACCCTGCTCCATGGCAGTGAGATCGTATACAGCCAGACCTTTGTGGGGACAACACTTTCCCCCCAAGAGGCCATGGTCACCCACAACACCACGGCTCACAGGGAAGACGACCGCCACAACTTCTCCTGCCGGGCCGAGATGGACCTGCGCTCTCGCGGCGGGGACCTCGTTCACAGCGTCTCAGATCCCCAGGCGCTCGACGTCTATGGTGAGGGGGAGCCCCCGGAGGAGGAGGGAAGGAGAGGGCATTCACTTTCAGCCCCTCGTGGGAGGAAAACGCCTCTGCCCCACTCTCTGCCAGCTCAGGGGGAGGCACCCAGGAGCTTGATCCCAGGAGTTCCCTGGAGCTCTCTCCAAGTTGCCAGCTTGGACCCCAGCTAGCTGCTTGGCCATTAACAAGCTGGGTGACCTTAACCAAGTCAAGCTCCTCTCTCTGGCCTTGGCCCCTCTCTGCAATGACAAATGTAGCCTGACTGACCCTTAGGATCCCCTGGAGCCCTGCTGTTCTGTGGCTCTAGATGACCTAGATGTTCTCTGTCTTCTGAGAGTTTGGTAGAAGCTCCCTCAGCTCTGCCCAAGGAGGGGCTCGGCCTGGACCACGCCACTGTCCAGGCTGTGGTGTCCAGCAACCACGTGCTGGTGCCAGGAGCTGGCGGCAGGGGGACATCCGCCCTCACGGTCTCACAGAGGCCCAGCTGGTGGCCTGGACCCCGGCCCCCCTTCCCTCTAGTTGATATACCAGTTGCCACTCACCTCTGCAACACAGGGTGACTGCAGAATGACGAGGGGTGGGTGGGTGGGTGATGGGTGGACCTGGGGCCAGAGGACTTCTAAGACCACTGCCCTCTCCCTCCCCAGAGCCCGCACAAGACAACCAGGTGGTGGCCATCATCACGGTCGTGTCAGTGCTACTCTTCTTGTTTGTGACATCTGTCCTGCTGTGCTTTGTCTTTGGGCAGCAGTGGCACCAGAGGCGGACAGGTACCTATGGGGTGCAAGCTGCTTGGAGGAGGCTGAGGTGGGTCTACCGGGCATAGCCTACGTGAGCGGCGTGGCCACCAGCACGGCGGCCACTGGGACTCAGCATGGCTCCTTAGGGCTGTGGTTCAGCCCTGGCTGAAGGACCACGACAAGCAGCAGAGGACGTCAGGGACCCTCCCTTTCCTAGTCTGAATACAAACACCTGGACTTAACCCTGTGCCTCAGTGTCTCCTCCTGGGAATGGTCAGGAAGGGGAGCCACCAGGCCCGGCTGGACTTCGGTCTCCAAATGTCCCCTCAGCCTCCCTCCACCCTCTCCTTCACGGGGGACTTCCAGAGTCCCGGGGAGCCCAGGCCCTGGGGCACCCCCATGCTGACCAGCCCAGGCACCAGACGCCCACCCTCATCGGACACTGAGCGACTCATTCCTACTGAGGGTGGGTGGGGAGATGCACCCAGAGGGGCAGAGAGACACTCTGTTCCCACGTGGCCCTCTGGGACTGCAGGCCCTCTGTGTCAGAGCAGGGCATGGCTCTGACCTTTACTTTCTGTCAACAGAGCCAGCTTCCAGGGGTAAGCATGGGGGCCCCAAGGGCTCAGCTTCAGGATCTCCTCAGCCAGGCCTCCCCCATCACTCTGGGCCTGCAGAGAGCCACGGACAACAAAAGCTGTCCTCGCCTCTTACCTCCTGCTCGGTTATTGGGCCAACCCGAGACGCCGCAGCGCTGGCCATCCCTGGGGTGGGGGGTGAGGGAGTGGAGGTCGAGGGAGGGCTCTGGTTCCCAGGCCTCTGCCAGCCCAGGCAGCAATCACTGGGACAGGGTTGGGCTGTTATGTGACCGCCAGGGCCTGGACACTGCTCTAAGGGGCTCTCACCCTGAAGCAGAGATCAGGCTGGTGCAAGGTCTCCGTGGGGTAGAGAAGGGACTGACTGACCTCGGGGAGAGGGCCTAGTTGGGGCTGAGGGGGTAAGAAGGGCTGCCAGGCATAGGTTCAGGGTTAGAAAAGCACTAGCGGGGCACACAGGGGCTCCAGGGCTATTTCCAGCTCTGCAATGAAGCTGGCATGGGTCCTGGGGCTGATGTCTGTCCTCACGGTAGGCTCTCGGCATCATAGTAATCTGGGGGGAGACAGCACCCTCATCGTGACTCCCTCCTGCCTCAGTGGAGCCCAAGGAGGAAACTGGAACGGGATAGGCCGGTTGTCTGCGGCCATGACAGTAGGGGCCCTCAGCCCCACAGGGCGCATGGCCTTCCTGGCCTTCTGATCCACCACCAGGCCTGGGCCCCACTGCCCACCCACCTGGTCCCTACCTGAAGCTGGGGGTACATCCACACCCACAGTCCCTGTGGCGCTGGGGGGTGGAGGCGGGGGCACGGCTCTCCTGGGACAGGGAGAGAAAAGAAAGAGCCCCGTCAGAGGCCCCAGGCTAGCCTCTGGAATTTCACCCACAAGTTTCCCCACTCCAGCCTGACCCCTGGCCAGCTCTTCCAGCCCAGCCCCAGAGCAGGGCCCAGGCAGCACCCAGCCCCCTGGCCTCACTTACGTCCCCCTTTTCCCAGAGGTAGAAGGGTAGTGCTGAACCCTGGCCAAGTGCTGCAAGCAGGGCTGAGGTAGGGGAGGGGAAAGGAGAGGGGCCGGCCAGGAGAGCAGGGGGCCCAGAGCAGGCATCAGGCAGGGCAGGTAGTGGTGGTGGAACACCAAAGGCCCCTCCTCCTGGGCTTCGGTCTCCTCCTCCTCTTCATACGCTGCCTCCTGTTGACCCTCCAGGTAGACCTGGGGATTGTACAAGAGGGGAGGGGAGATGATACAGGATCACGCTCTCCCTGCCACCACTCCTCCATTCCTCTAAATTATTTCTCCAGATACCCAGCACAAAATAGCTACTGTTTATTGGGCATTTACTACACACAAGCAAGGCTCTTTGGAGACATTTATTCCTTATTTTGCGGATGGGAAAAACTGAGGCTTGGAGGTTAAGTAACTTTTCTAAGGTCACCCAGCTAATAAGGCCAAGCAGGGACTGGAGGAATCCAGGTATGACTCCAGAGCTGGGGCCAGGAGTCCAGCAAGCTGCCCCTTGCCTCAGGATACAGGGTTACGGACAGGGTTCTTGGACTCTTTCATCAATAGAAATTGATAAGAAGCCAGCCAAGGAATTCAGGCTGGGAATTCACTGGGACTCATGCTGCAGGAGGCAGTGAGAACAAGAGAGAGGTGCCCCCGCTCGCTCCCCAAGGAGAGTGGGCTGGTTCCTTAAATGGGGAGAGGGGAGGGACTGATTGGTGGGCTGGGCTGGAGGGGAGGCTTAGGTGGTCCGCCCACCCTCTTGGTGGTGCTGTGTGCAGGAATCATGCTCAGTACCCTACTTTTGCACCTCAGAAATGGCAGCTGATTGGTGGCCTTTTTGTATCTTATTGTTCATAATTGCCCCACCTGCGCATGCGTGCCATTATTTTTAGTCTCATTTCCTTTGTATTCTGCGGCTTGAAGAGACGTTTGTCCAGGTGCAAGCACTGCAGCACTGCAGCAAAGGGTCCCAGGTCCCAGCCTGTCTCAAGCCCCAGTCCCTGGACCCACTTGTGCCCCACTTGTTGAGGTAGGGCGCTCCTCCCAAGGGCCCCCTGAGGGCTTGGGGGTGAAGGGGTGGCAGCAGCTCCTCAGGGTCTCCCTCTGCCTCGACTCCTCTGACCGGCCCCTCCGTGAATCTCTGTCCGCTCCCTCCAAGCTGACAGGCATCCTCTCACCACCCGGCTGTCACCCCTCCAGACCTCTCAGGCTGCCCACTGCTGGCTGAATAAGGCTCAGCCTTAGAGGTCCTCCCCTCCCATGCACCCATCCCCTCCCCCCTCCCCCCCTCCCCCCACATATACACAGGGTTTCCTCCATTCTGTCTCCTGATTCTGCCCCTGCCCACCTAGATGGTGGACACACCCCTCACCTCCTCCAAACATCAGAATCCTGCCTAGCTTTCAAGGGCTGGTTCTAAGGCCACTTGCTCCTCCAAGGAGATGCTCCTCATGCCCCAACCAGGTGGCCCTCACACTTTGTGGCAGTCACAGCCAAAGTTGCCTTGTATTCATAGTCATTCATTTATTCATTCACTTGTTCAACAAATAGCCATTGAACCCCTAATAAGTATCAGGCACACTGCAGGCCCAGGGTACGATGGTGCCTGCCCTCCTGGGTCTGCAGTCCAGTGGGGGAGTCACTGCAGGGAAACCTTGAAAACAAGACCTGAGTGGTCTGGATTTGGGGACCCGCTACCTCCACTCCATGGAGGCTGACACGGGGGCCTGGCACATAACAGATGCCAAACAGACCTAGCCAGATAGATGAGGGCTGGCTTCTGGCTCCCCTGTTACCTGATCCTTTTTCTCAAGGTGGGGGGAACCCTAAATGGATGCCCGCCTCTGGCCCTGCAGGTGGGCAGCCCTGGTAGCCCACCCCCACTCCCCCACTTCCAGCCCACGCACCTGCGGGCCGGACCAGGCAAGCCCCTGGTTGAGCACCGCGGCCACCTGGCCACTCAGAAGCAGCTGGTGCATCTGCGCGTTCTGCAGCAGCATCAGTTCCAGCAGGTCTAGGGGACGGGAGTTCAGCAGGCCCGCGCCGGAACCCCCCCTGCTCTTGCCCCGACCCCAGGGCCTTTTCCCCAACTCCAGCTTCGGGGGGGAGGGCGGGGGAAGGATGGGTGCAGCAAGGACGCCCAGAGAATGTGCCGGGCAGAGGGGGGTACAAAGTGGGGAGATCCCGGAGTCTCACCTTCCTTCACGCGGCCCGGCCGTGGGGACGGAGGTGGGATGGCCCACAGGAGGGGCTGCGGAATGGTCACCCAGGGCTGGGGGGAGGGGGAGACTCAGTCAGACTAGGTGGGGAAGGGATGGGGACCCCCTCATCGCTCCCCACGCCGTTGAGTCGCTTCCCTAACCTCGCAGGAGCTTCTCCCCTCCGCGTCCCCATGGCCTCCCTGTCAAGTCTCTTCCTCTCTGGCTGGGGTCGCTCTCCTCACCCACCCCCACTCCTCCAGGGTTCGGACCCTCCAGGGACAGCTCCCCAAGTCAGCCCACCCCTCCACCCCGCCCCCAAGGCCTTCCAGGTAAAGGCAGGCTCTGGTCCCCGACTCAGCCTTCACCGTCGGGGCTGCAGTCTGTGCTGGGTGATGACCCCAGCTCCCTCCAGTCCCCGAGGCCATGGCCAGCTGCTGCGGATCAGGGTTACCTTGACGACGCTGGGCGACGCCAAAGTCTCCTCCTACGCATGCGCAGGTCCCGCCAGCGTTCCGGTGCCTGGGGCGTTCGCCCTTTGTCGCCGCCTCCTGCTCTTCTCTCTCCACCTCTAGGGACGACGGGTCCCGAGGACCCTCATCCCCACCCCCGGAGGCCCAACTCTCTCCCAGATGTCCACATCCAAACCCCCGCGCCGTGGCTGCCTGGGCATCGCGGCTCATCCCTCGCTGTACCTCGCACCCTTGGGCATCCCCGGCACGGAGCCTGGGGGGCCGAGTTTGTTGAGTGAATGCGTGAGTGGCTGGGGAGGCCCGCCCCAACTCGGACACTTGGTTTTTGGGGCCCAGTGCCCAACTGACTAGGGTGATGAGTTAGGAGTAGAGAATTCTGTTGGAACAGGCTTGGGGGCAAGGGGCTGGTGAGTGAGGAGGGCAAAGGATTTGCTCCCTGTCGCTCTGAATCAGTGGGCTGTCCTGCGGGCCAAGAGTGGTTTCTGGAGGCCACCAAGGAAGGAAACACCAACCAAGTTCACGGAAAAGGCTGGCCCCTGTTTGCTCCCTGGTTCCTGGTCAAGGGGAGCCACTGCTCCAAAGAGGTGGCAAAGTCTGGGGAGTTTAACATCAGTGCCCTTCATCCCGGAAAAATGACCAACGCTTGCGTTCTTTCAACAGGAAGTTATCGAGGTCTTCTTTGCTTAAGAACAGGTGAAGGGAGAGATCTATTTCGGCAGCTGTGACCATCCTAAGATAGGCCCTGAGCAGCCGTCGAAGAAAATCCAGACAGGAAGCTGGGATTAGCACCCCAGAGTTGCCTTCCCCCACCCTCCACTCCTGTTCAGCTCCCCTTCCCAGAAGCCCTGGTGTCTAGAGCCATAAAGACCATTCCCACCTCCTCCTTTGTACCTTCACCCCTGTCTCCAGGAGATGGGGACTGTGGGCATTAGCTGTCCCCGTGGGTCTTATGGCCTTGACAGCCGTCATCAAGCTGAGATCGGGCACTGTGGTCACAGGCCCGCAGTGAGTGGGAAGGACACAGGCGCGTCTTTCCATCTCCACCCTCATTCCAGGGAGAAAGATGAAACCAACCCTTATGCTCACCATCAGCAAACTTTGACCCAGGAGGTGCCTGTGTGTGCGAGGTGCCCTTCTGAGCACTGTAGACACAATAGTGTATCCTCGCTGGTTCCAGCGTTGTTGGGGAAGTGAAAAACTCCCCTGAAAGGAGAGCAAAGATGCAAGACTGTGCAAAGTGCCCTCTGAGTGAACCATACAAGAAGGGATCATGAAAAAGAGAAAACTCGGTCACTGAAGCGTGGAGTTCTGAAGGAGGTAGAGATCCTTGGGATGGGGCCAAGCAGTGTGAGAGGGAGAGGGGAGCCCAGGCTGGGAACACAGCCAGAGCAAAGGTGCAGATGCGGGAATGGACAGGGCCTGTAGAGATCCAGTGGCTCAAACTGCCTGGCTAGGGTAGGGGATCTGGGCCGAGGGAAGTTCCAGGCAGACACAGGACAGACTCAAAGGCCAAGTTATAGAAGTGAGGCTTTGCCATGTGGGTACTGGGAAGCTCTTGGTGGGTTTTGAGCAGGAGAGAAATAAGGGGACGATGTGTGCACAGCCACATTTTGGAAAGATTTATCTTGGTTGTCATATCTTTGTTTATGTCAACCAGAATTAGAAAGAACAAATGTCTGATGGGATGTGTCCTCCCAATGGAATACTATTCCACCATTGACAATTTTGGTATAGAACAAATCTGATGTGGAATGATGTCCAAGAGAGCCAAGCAAAACAATCAGAAAGCATAGTAACATCTTATTTTTGTCTTAAAAATTATATGTATTTATGTGCATCTCTGGGGGGCGGGGGAGAAAGAGAGGGAAGGAGGGAGGGAGGGAGGGAGAGAGAGGGGCAATTATAGAGAAGCTGTCAGGGCTGCCCATACCCGCCAGCCTCCCCACTTCTTCTCCACACCTTCACAGTGCTTCCTGGGATCTCCTGCCAAATAAACTTCTTGCTGCCAAATCCTTGTCTCAGGCTCTACTTTTGGGGGAATCCAAACTTAAGACACGAGTCTCCCACTTTCACCATTTCTGCTGCCCAGGCTGCTGCTAACTCCTGGGAAAAGCTATTCTAGCAGCTCTCTGATAAATTTGTGTTCAATGACATGAAATACCAAAGTCGACACTGAAGTACATTCGCCTGGGAGTATAATGGTCCATGGATTGAACTGAGGCAAAGCTGGAGGCAGGGAGGCCAGCAAAGAGGCCACCTTCCTTCCCTGTAAAGGAAGCTCAGAGCAGGCTGGAGGTGGCTGTAGGAAAGAGGCAGGAAGAGGTGATCATTTCAATACCTCAGATATAAGATTGCATGTTAACCTTACATGAGACTTACTTGTATTTTGGAAGACAGGGTTGAGATAAAAACTACCTGCCTTCTGGTACCCAATTAGAGGTGCCAAAGGAAATTGAAGCATTTGTCCTTTGAATAATGGGAAAACCACACAATTATCTGGCAGCGCTATTTTGCTTACAGATCTAGCTTCAGTCCAACAGTGGAGGAGGTGCCTTTCTGGCTACTTGTCCTGCCTACTATTATTTTCTTTGGGGTGTTGAACACTCCACCTAATCTCTTTCCATTCTTCTCAGTGGGGACTCATTTGCATCTTCAATTTTTTGTTTTGGGTTTTTTGTTTGTTTGTTTTAATGTCCCAAAACAATATGTACCGAAAATCCTCCCTGTTGCCTTGGTAAATCTATTCCTGGAAATAAACTAGACATGGGAAAAGATTTCTACTCGTATGTGTTCGTTCCAGTGTTACTTTTAAGAGTTGAAAGCTGAACGTTACCCAATGTCCCATAATAGGGAAATGGTTATGTAAATGGAGGTAATTCACTCCAAGGAAGAGTTTGCAGGCATTAAAAACCATGGAAGGGGAAAAAGGGCTCCCTCCTCTCCTCCTTAGATGGAAATGCAGAGAAAAGAGTCCTTCTAAGAATTCAAGGGGAGGGACTTCCCTGGTGGTCCAGCGGTTAAGACTCCACGCTCCCAGTGCAGGGAGCCTGGGTTCAATCCCTGGTCAGGGAACTAGAGCCCGCATGCCACAACTAAGAGCCTGCATGCCACAACTAAAGATTCAACTAAAAGATCCCACATGCCACAACGAAGATCCTGCTTGCTGCAACTAAGAGCCAGCACAGCCAAATAAATAAGTAGTTAAAAAAAAAAAAAAAAAAGAATTCAGGGGAAATGTCTGTGTGGTACAGATGAGGAAGTGCTGAGCGGAGAGAGACTGACCCAGTAGCAGTCTCTTTTTTTTTGACCCATTTCCTAAAAAGGCACAAATTGGAAGGAGTTAGAATATGAGGGTTGAAAGAGAGGCGCTAAATACTGCTTTGCAGAATTTCATGACTAACTGGATTTGTGGGGAGAATCCTTGAAATTATAACAATAAAGAAATTCCATTTTTCTGCTTGGAGGCTCTGACTATACTGTTTCTACAAATCATGGTTATCCTTGTGAGATGTGTGTGTGGAGTTTTATCCAAAAGGTCCCTGGTGGTACTTTGGGGACTTATAAACACATAGATCACACCAATGGGATGCCGTGTGGTGGGGACCCAGTTTCAAGGTCCCACCCCATCAGAATGGAGCTATGGGATGGAGTCCAGAACCCTCCCCTCCTGGCTGAAGCTCCCAGAAAGTCACGCTGGACTGAATGACTCAGGGAAGAAACTGACTGCTCAGGCCAGCGGGTGGGGCTGGGACAGGCCAATTCCTGTGGGTCAGGATGAGATTTTCTGAAATGTGATTTTATTTTGCAGGATTCTTTGGCTTGTGGGTGACCAAAATTCAACCTAAACCAGCTTAAAGAAAAGGGACTTTTGGGGGAAGGGAGGACAGTGATGGAGTTGGTTTATAGTTTAACTGACTCAGGTGTCTTCAGGTCTCTCTCTCTCCATCCTTCTCTCCCTCTCCTTCATCTCCCCCTTTCTGCATGGTGTTCCCTCTTCCTACAGACAGACTTTTCCACTCATGGGAGACACACCGCAGGCACCTTCAGATGTACTTCAGTTACTCTAGACAAACTTAGAGAATCCCACAGAGAGAGAGATGATCTTTCTTTTGAATCAATACATAGAAATCCCCAGGAAGGACTGTGATTGGCCCCACTTGAGTCACATATCCAGCTTTTGGACCAACCACTGTGGCCAAGAGGATTGGCCACACCTAGGTGACAATGTCCATCTCCGTGGCTGGGGCAAGGTGGCTGTCCTGTAATCAGGAGCCCCACCAGAATCACATATTTGGAGTAGGGAAGCAGTTCCCCAAAGCAAGGAGGAATATCGTTATCAAGAGAGAGATATTCATTCCACTCGGGTTGTGGTTAAAAGTCGTATTTAACACACAGCTTTTGTTTTCCCATCATCCCCATCCTTAATCCAAATGGCACCTTGTGCAAATTAGAAAAATTAGCCCCTTCCTCTAGATAATTTGCTACCATCTGCTAGAAAATTATCATCTTAAATATACTAATCTACAATGACTACAAATGGGATTGGTGCCCAGAATTGTGCAGTGCACAACTCATACAACCAAATGCAGCAGCCCTGCCCCCTCATATACTATAATTCCCTTCAATAACTTCAATTCCTCATTAAAGAAAGTCTTACTCCATAGAGCTTTGGGCAGGGGCAAGGCAGTGACTGAAAGGGCAGAGCCATAATTGGGAATGACAGCTGCATCCCACCGTCTCCCCTCCAGTGCCCACAGACAGGGAGCCGTGTGCTATCCAGGGAACACTGACCAGGAATTCCAGACAGTGGCCAGTGTAAGGCCAACTGGCCCGAGGCAGGGGAACACAATCAGATTCACAGGTTGCATCAGACCGAAATTCTCCGGACCACCCAGTTCCAGAAACTGCCCTGGAGACATTCCGGACCACCCAGTTCCAGGAACTGACCTGGGGACTTTGAACCCAGCCCAGCCTTCCCGCCTTTCGAGGGGCGGGACTAACGGTCCCCCAGGATACCCGAAAAGACCACCAAATAAGGAATACCCTGCGCCCTCCCAGATTCACCACACCCGTTTCCCTTCTTCCCCTATAAAATCTTGCCCAACCCTCGCCCGGGTGCGACTTCTCTGGCCCCTTTCTCTCGGACCAGTGAACCTCGCCCGGGAGCGCTCCCTAATAAAGCTCACTTGAAGCTTTCCTCTGTTTCGCGGTGCCGTTTGTTAAGATCCGACCTTACAGCCAGCAGCAAAGCAAACTGGAGC